AATGTGTAGTGTTTAAGGGACAGGAAAAACTCAGAAAAGTCAGCAACTAAAAAATTTTCCGCAAAGGCAAATACGACTCTCCGCCCTAAATCTAGCGACCAAATAGGATCCCCTGTGACCGAATACGACCCCCCCCCTCGCTGGAATTCCCTAGGTACGATGTGCCCTGAGCTCATTAAACATTCTGCAGGTCTCAGTACCTGTACCTTGAACCCCAAGAGACAGTGTAATGCGCTGATATTCCAGCGTTGCCAAGCACCCAGGTGATGCTATCTTTCACCCCTCACTTTCAAAAAGCAACGGCTGATCGGCTGGCTTTTCGAGCCCTGGCAAAGTGCCAGAGAGATGTTTTTCACTGCTTCCCACGAATTAGCCCTGCTGGACTGTCTCCCACGAGAATTGTACCTCCTTGAACTAACTTTTACCACTTTTGCGACGAAAATAAATAGTCTCTGCCAAAATCAATAAGTCCACAGCGAGTTTGTCGTCTCGTCGGCGACATAGTGATATTGACCGAGGGAGGAATTCGTTGCCGTCGCGAATAAACAATAGCCCCTTGACTACGGCTAATTATCCGTGTCGTTCAGGAGAATTATGTGGCTGATCTGGTCGTCGCGTCGGGATCGTACTCGACTGACGCCCATCTGACCGAGGGAGTCTCAGGAGACGAAGATGTTCATTATCTAATAGATTTCGACATGGCATTCCTAGGAGACAACGAAGAACAGTAGGTTTTGGAATGTCCTTTGTCTCGGTTCGATTCACAGCGCCCTCATTCGCATTCTGTCAGATTCGCTGAACACGAAAAAGCTCAACGAAAAGAGTACAGCCATCTGAGCGATGACGAGTATCGGAAAACAACGGGAAAAGGTGGGGCTTCTAACTCTTCTTTAGGCGCAGTTTGGCTTGGAGGGGCATTCTGCACTTTCGCTAGTTCCTTTTGTTGGTTCTTTAACTAATGGGTCTCACTTTGGTCGGACCTGTAACCCTCTGAAATTGCGAAATTTGC